TGATCGTTTTCTTGAAAATCAACCCATCGTTCAGGGGTTAAACTAATTGAAATTATTAATTAAAATGTTCAAATTGAATTAATTATTAGTTAACATTATTAAAATTGATTAAGCTGTACAATTTTATTGCGAAAAGGGAAAAAATCACTCTCTTCAAAACGGCTATATTTTTATTCAAAGTATACTTTTATATGCATTAATAAATGCAAAATCTTCTAACAGCCCCGAACCTGAATAGACATTTTGGCATCTACTGTATAGATTAGTATACCTATTCCTGATGCTATGGTCATAGAACCAAATTTTTATAGCATTTTTCTTTTTCTGTACCATCTTACGACAACAGATTTTAGTGTATACACTGATTTCCATGCAAATCAAGCAAAATTGTATATGTTACCGGCAAAGTATGAAACGCCGGCATTGTATATAATGCCGGATGTTTTTAGGCAAAGTATGAAATATGAGAAGTATTATATACTTTCCCTAAGCATTGTATAAAATACCTAGGCATTCTATAGAATGACAAATGCGATTTAGGAGAAATATGAAAAAAACATACAGATGAGGTTATTATGTAAATAATGTTCATTTCTCAAAAATAAAAATGTTATTCCTAAAAAATAATGAGAGTGCTATTAAAAAAAATGATTCAAAATGAGTAAAGAAAATTGAAAGTTGTACAAAACATAATTTATGTCTTTCTTATTAAGGGAAACAAAATGTTCACACAAAAAATTCACATTTATGTCACAATTATTTTCAGTTTAGAAACAAATATTGCACAAAATATCCATTTCATCACCTTTACTAACTCCACAGAAGATTTTATACTTTGCCTGTTTCTCATTTGGCATTCTATAGAATGCCTAGGAAATGTGTGAAATATAAATCGTTTCATACATTGCCTGCTAATTTTAGGCATTCTGTACAATGCCTAGGCATTCTATAGAATGCCGGATTTTAAACTTTGCCGGTAGCATATAGATTAAGAATAGATCTCCCGATTATTTTTGATTTATGACAAGAGGCCAAGTCAAGTTGGAAGGTTCTGTCCTACGTCTGCATATTAAGAAGAAATATTGCGTCATAATATTTATATGCACTAGGCAGAATTTATTATTCCTTGCAACGAAGACTAAGCTTACAGTGCTATTTCTTGAGAAAATCCAAAATCAATCAGTGTTTCATAGTTTGTTTGACATAATCAGGTCTGAAAAGATCAAGGGAAAAAATGTTGCAGGTGATTTTTCGCATTAAATTTTAACTGCACATTTATTAAGTTAACTTGTTGCAGTAAAAAAGTCTGTCTTAATAAAAAAGAAACGTCTTAATAAAAATCTTCGAAGCATTGGCAGTAAAGAATATTTCTTTTTAACATTTAATACGTTAATGGCTTGGAATTTTTCTTTCTGTGAACCCAAAGATAAAAAGAATTTGTGTAGTGTTTACTTCTTCTGGAAAATAAATGGATGAATTTGGATTTTCTTTGCCTGAGATTGATTTTTAAACTTCCAAAGAAACGATAAGGCATATTCTTTCGAGAATAAAATTTCTCAAGATTTTTCTAGTTGCGTAATTATACTATCAACAATATTTTTACTAATAATTATCTGACAATCTAAAAACTTAGCAATTATCTAGTACAGTGATTCTCAGCCTTTTTTTTGTTGCGGCACACTTTTAACGACTTCGAAATTTGACGGCACACAATGAAAAAATTAGATTAAAAGTTGTTTAATTACCTATTTTACACTGTGTTAAATAGTTAGCGATAATAATTTCGAATGTGAAATAAAATAATGTGTACTACAAAAGCACATTTATTAAGGGATTAATTATTTCTTTCAACCAATTTTTTATTAGTTAGTAACAGTTTTTTTTTGCTAGTTATTAATTGTTAGCTTGTTTTCTATTGTTATTAACTGTTAGTTTTTTTTTTACATTAACTGTTATTTTTTTGTGATTTCCTGTTAACTAGTTTTTTTTTGCTAATTGTTAATTGTTAGCTTAATTTTTGTTAGTTATTCTATGTTAATTTGCTTTTTATATCTTTGTTTTTATATCTTTGTTTTTTTTAGTTATCCTTTGTTAATTTGTTTATTAATTGCATAGCTTACTTTAATGATTAGCTCTTACAACATTTTTTTAATTTGTGCGTCATACACAATTTAAACAACCATCTTATTTTAAGACAACCCTCTTATTATCAGAGACAAGACAATCGCCGACAAAGATGTTCACGCGATTAAAGCGTGGAAAAATAATAAAAAGTATACATATATATATGCACTTTTCTTTAATTTAAACTTTACACATAATAAAAAAAAACATTATAATTTTTATTGTATCATTTCTAATATTTGGCGGCACATTTTAAGAATTTAGCGGCACACAAAAGTGCCGCGGCACAGTGGTTGAGAATCACTGATCTAGTATATAAAATAAAATAATAAATTGAAATAAATTTATTCATCTCCAATTTTTTTATATTTGTTTTTTTCTCATTTTATCCCCAGCAATGGTAACATTTCGAAGAAATTGCTTGTAGAAGAAATTTGCAATTAAGACCTCTAATGGGCAAAGTTACAGTTATTTAGATAACTTTGCCCACTATTGGCTTGTGTTTTTATTTAAAGAGAAAGCAATGAAAATATATTGAAGCACTACAATTGAACTCTAAGCCCTATTTTAAATCTACACATTGTTTTTTTATGTTTTTGTAACTGATAAAGAAAATCACGAACTCTTTACTGAAAGTTTCAAACTGAGCAAAATAATCCCATTAGACGTTATGCAATTCAGAAATGATCTAAATATTTTTTTTTTTAATTTCTGATAATTTTTTTTAATTTTTGGTTTTTTAATTTTGTACTTTATGCTCTACTAGTAATTTTTCGAACTCAAAGATACAAACTTTTCTAAGAGCATGAAGGTTTTAAAAAATTGTTCGTATCATATATATTATTAAATTATACATTATTTAATTATTTATTATTTAATTACATATTAACTAATTACATATTAATTAACTATATATGAATTAATTATATATTGTGCAAATATTTATTATTTAATTTTACTAGATTTTAATATGATTGAACACTTATAATTTATTTTCAAATTATTTAATTTAGTTAAATTAGAAAACACCCAGATCATAATGTGTCTACTGCATTTACTGTTATACGCAATTAGAAATAATTTCTGCTTTCCGTTAATAATATACATTTTTCTCTTTTATAATTTTCTAAATAATTAATTCATAAAAATTCGAAACAAAAACTGATTCGTGGAAATAAAATTAAATAACTGTATTTTAAAAATATATTTATACCAAATTTCATGCTTTTAATTCGATAGTTGATAAGTTATATTACAAAAGCACCGTTTATACGTCATTCAGACTGATGTACATTGCTGCATAAACGAAAAGACATGTAACTAAATAGTAAATAATTTAATATAAATTAATATTAAAAAAAATAATTCTAATACCATTTAAATGTTGTAAATTTGCTCCTTAATATTTACTGATATAGAAAAAAATAGAAAAATTAAATTGAATATTTATTATAATTGCGAAAAAAATCATACCTTATTTCATATTTTCAGCTCATAAATTCTATACAAAACTGCTAGTATACAAATTCTTTCAATACAAGCAGACATCTCAGTAAAAAAGTACCTTCGAGGTAAAAAATTTTTTTTTAACTTTACATAGAGTATCTGGAATCCAGGCTAAATAGGTATACATTTAAAAACGAAAAAAAAACAACCTATAACCATCTATTTGTTTTCCCCGTGATATAAATAATCAAATTTAATATTGTAGCTATAAAGAATAAAAGAACTGCACTGAGAAAAATATAGTCACAACTACCAGAATCAACCAGTTTCTAGCTCTATGGGACCACCAAAAAGCTCGGTAATTTTTACCGAAAAACCTTAGCTACGATTTCGGTAAAATTAAACAATAAAATATGGGTTTATAATATGTGATGTAAGTTGGCAAATGTGGTAAAATTTGGTAATTTTATCATGATGCTTTAAAGCATGGCATAAAAAACCGTTTATTTGGTTAAATTTACTTTTCAGTTTTGTATTTTTTACTAAATATGTTAAAATAAGAACTGTAATTTTAAAAACAAGAATTTCAGGTAAACCAATACAATTTTAAATGAAAAATTACCAAATAAATGGTTAAAATACAGTACATTTTAGTTTCATTAACCAAAATTATAAATTTTTTCACCAGAAATGTCATTACCATACAGCAGGGTAGTTTTACCAAAAAATTTTTCTTATCCGTTTACAATTAAATGGCGTATAAATAAAACGACCTATAATTGAGAAATGAATAAACGGTACTTTACCATATTAAAATTAGAAAACGAATGTTATGAAAAATACATTAAAATAGTCACATTAATAAAAAATACTTTAAAATGATCACATTATTAAAAATAATCAAATTACTTTACAGGAGGGAATAAACTAAGTAATAAACGGTTTGTAAATTGAGATTTAGTTCGTCTCGACTCCTTGATAGGTAATTATTTGCATATAACAAATGAAAAAATATTAGGATGCTTAAAGTTAAAATTTCTTAAGTTTTATTAAATTTTATATTATTATTTTAAATACTATGATCATTATCATACTGTCGTCTTAAAAATTTCAGATATATTGCTATTAATAATAATTTGTTAATTAAAAAATTAATTCATTAGTTATGAAGTTTACTAATATTTATGCTTAATATTATTAATCATATATCATATTTAATCCTTATAAGTCAAAAACTTTTCGAACTTATTGTGGAAGCTCTAATCATCGTCAGCCTTGTTCTAAAATGAAAACGAGAAACTGTCTCCCTTAAGTACGAATGTGACAAATCAAAACTAAAAAAACTGTCCCCTGCTTTGGCGTTAAAATAGATATATCGACAGGAACTAAGGTTGTTTGGAAACCTGGCAACCCCTAACTGTCAGGTAGAAACGGTGGGGAAAATACATTCTTTTTTTTTACCTTTCTTTTTCGGCTTAACACACACGTTCTACCATATCATTGTGTATAATATGAGTGCAAATCTAAAGAGTTCAGGCGTCGGTGATGATGAAGAACTAGTTGCAACTAAGACACCATCCAGAGAAGAAGTTCTTCTTCCTAAGTAGCTTCTTTTCTTCAGTTTTGTGTTCAGCAAGTTGCCGATCAGAGGAGCATTGAACGGAACAAAAAGCCGTTTGGGATATACGGCAGTGGAAGACCAGCGCGTGCAATGACCAGGTAAGTGATCCTTCTCTGCGTGGAGTGTTTTTATTGCCATTCGTTTAAAATTAATTTGTAGGAAATATCGTTTGCTAAATTTATTGTTGGTTGGTTTTGTTTATGGAATTCGATGGAAAAGAAACTATTGTTTTATATATCAGATTTGTTATTTCTTTTAAAAAAAGACCGGATATGATCTCGAAAATTAAACTTTCGAAGTAAATTTAAATTTTTACTTAAAAGTTCTCATCATGTTTACATTTATTATTGCCTTTATGTTTTTATTGCCATTCGTTTAAAATTAATTTGAAGAAAATATCGTTTGCTAAATTTATTGTTGGTTGGTTTTGTTTATGGAGATGTTCGATGGAAAAGAAACTATTGTTTTATGTATCAGATTTGTTATTTCTTTTTAAAAAGATCGAATATGATCTCGAAAATTAAACTTTTGAAGTAAATTAAGATTTTTACTTAAAAGCTCTCGTCATGTTTACATTTATTATTGCCATTATGTTTTTATTGCCATTCGTTTAAAATTAATTTGTAGGAAATATCGTTTGCTAAATTTATTGTTGGTTGGTTTTGCTTATGGAGATGTTCGATGGAAAAGAAGCTATTGTTCTATGTATCGAATTTATTATTTCTTTTTAAAAAGACCGGATATGATCTCGAAAATTAAACTTTCGAAGTAAATTAAGATTTTTACTTAAAAGTTGTCGTCATGTTTACATTTATAAATAAAGCATAATAAATTTGAAAGGAAAATTGCGGAAAATTAAACTTCTTATAAGCTCAACAGCTTCAAATAAAATATATTTAGATACATTTTTATTTATAAATCGAGTATAATTGTTTAATTGCAAAAAAAATTTTGCATCGTATAAAATTAAAATATTTAATTAAAAATTTCTTAGTTATATTTATATTCTACTTATATAATCATTCAGATTGTTAAACGCTGAAAAATTTTAATCAACATGCTTTGATGATAGAAAGATTGGTGGAAATTTTATAACATATTAATATATATTATTAATAATTGTAGGCATTTTTATAAACGCAAGGTTTTTAATAAAAAATCATTGATTATATTTTTATTCATAAGAAACTTAATTATTTAATTTGAACAAAAGAATACTGGTCATAATTAAGAAAAAATAAACATCATATAAATGTAAAGTTTTCAATTAAATGCTCCTTAAAAACATTTATATTTATAAATAAATCATAACTATTTAATTTCAGGAAATACAGTGCAGATATAATTATGAAAAATTAAATTTTCTATGTATTTAATGTTTTTATCTAACGATTTCTTAGTTTTATTTATATTTATGGCTTAAAACATAATTATAAATTTTATTTAATAAAGCCTGAATTTTCTTAATGAAAAATTAAATTTTTTACGAACTTAAAATTTTCATTAAAAAATTTTCGATTACATTTTCATTTAAAAGTAAACGCCTAATTATTTATTTTGATGAAATGAAGACCAGGAAAAATGAAAATTTGTATTAACTAAAAGTTTCTTTTTTAAATCCATCAGATATATGCATATTTATAAATAAAAATAGTAGTATAATGAAATAAGACTAAACTTAACCAAGAGATTCAGTTAAAAAAAATTTGATACATTTGCTTTTATATATATTATTTATTATAAAGAACTGAATAAACGCAATATATATGCATAGTAATCAGCAATTACATAACACTCATACAAAGAAAAGATCACTTTTGTTTTTAAAAAAATTATCTGTATAAAGGAATTTATCTAAGAAAAACTTTAAAAAATTACAGTTGTTAAAGAAATCCAGTATACTTACTATGATTTTTAAACTACAAAGGATTCTTTTAATTGCCTGCAAAATTTCTCAATTATCAAACATTAATTTTAAGTAAGTAAATTTGAAAAATTATATTCTAATTTTCAAACGGCTTAATTTTTTAAATGTTTTAGAATAACTTCAAATTAAAACCACCATCTAAAGATTTAAGCAATCAGAAATAAAAAATATGAATATTTTTATAACAATCATCCAAGGAACTTATTTATAATGTTAGAGTAAGTTAGTTTTAATGGAAGAACATTTCAGAAATGATGATTGAGTTTTAGTATTATCTATCTATTTAGTTTTGAAATTAAAGAAGTTAACTCAAATTGTCATCTAAAATATTTTACTTTACATTGATATTGAGTAGTGCATAGTTTTTTTGCCGGTGCACGATAGTGCACCGTATATTAATTTTTATTTCAAAGATTTAAGATTTTTAAATACATAGAGCTATTTCAAATTCATTTGAATTAACTAAAATTACATTCTCTTCACTTACTAGGAATAAATTATAGTTATCTATATTTTTTAAAGCGACAAAAAATATGTACAAATTTATGACGATTTCAAATGTGAAGTGTATTTTCAGAATTTTTATTAAATGCTGTTTGTCTGTGGTTTAAGTATTTGTGTGTACTATTATAACCTGTTAAATGAGGATTTTTTGTCAGTACTTATAGAAATAATATCATTGGAAGTTATATTGACTGAAAATCACAGACATAATACATATTCCTTTTCATTCCAAATTGGTGTATAGGGCTCCAATCATAACTTTCCATCTCACTCTATATGTGGCCAGATATTCTGCCTCTCTCCATATCTTTCCTATTGTTTTCAATTCGTTTGCAATCTTCCAAGTATTTTTAGGTCTTCCTCTTTTTCTATTGCCCAGAGGTTTCCAATTAAAAACTTGTTTTACTTTAAATTTTTCAGATTTACGAAGAACATGACAAATGCATTTCCATTCATGTTTTTTAATTTCCAGATCAATCGGTTTCTGTTTTCCTTTTATAAGGATTTTTTGTATTACAAATTTTATGGAACCACTTGATACGCAAGAATCCTTTTAAACAGTTTTCACGTTATTTCAATTGCGACCCAGTGCTATGTCTCAGATCCATATAGTAGGACAGAGTTAGCATTACTATTGAAAATTCGATTTTAATAAATATGAATCTTATAAAGTTTCAAAATAATATTTAGTTTTCAACTTGTGCAAAATAATAGTTTTGTATGGGAAATTTAAATGATAAATCACATGTTATTGAATCATATGATGCGTGAAAATAGATGAAATCCACAAACCTAATAAACACTGATGTATTTTCTTCCAATGATTAGTTTTTAAATGTACAAATATATAATTGTACATATAAATATTGTATGAGTCTTTAAACAATCGATTAATGTGTAATAACAATAAGTAAAAATTTTTAAAAAAACAAAAGAAGCAGAAGTTTCCTCTGCGTTTTATTTTTATTAATCCACGTTAATTATCTGTATTTAATAATAGTTTTCTGTTTTCATAAAAAAAATTATTAAAACAACTTATGTGTATTTCATGCTTAACAATTTTTTATTTAATTTAATATTTGTAAATAGCATACTCTGACCTAATTGCTTCAAATTTTATTCGAAACATTAGTTATAAAGTGATTTTAAGGGCGTAAAAACATTGATTATTTTTAAATTTTATTTTTACTTGAATATTGTATTTTTTACGAAGTTCCCAAATGCAAATTAAACATTCAATTTCATCAGTACTTAGCAAATATGAAAACATAGTCGATCTTATAGCCGTTAAAATTGGAATAAAAATGATAATTATATTTATAACTTTTTGGCCTTATCTTGCTCTAATTTAAATCATATCTATTATTATAAAGAAATAACTAATTAGTTCTTATCTTTATTTGTTTTTATTTCTCTGTAAATAATGGACTCCAATCAATTGAGTTTTTGAAGGAAATAAGCTTATTTGATCATTATTGCCATTAAATCATCTATAAAAATGCCATTAAAGCACCTATGAAACTTTAAATATATTTATTCATTATTTAGCTTATTTATTTCAATAAATGAAGCACCACTTCTAAATTAAATTTTTTAGGCTAACTTAAACACCGGGAAAACAAAGAGCAAAAAAATTATTCTTAACCTATTTTTCTTGAGGTTTGGAGGTACCTATATTTAGAATCCCAAATTTTCTTGTTATGCATTAAATATCACCAAATAACTTTTTCGATGAGTGCTCTAAATTTAACTTATAAAAATACAAATGCTTCTATCATAAAGAAAAATCATTACTTTACAAAATCTGATTTGTTTCTGATAAATGAATTCGAAATAAATTTTAAAAACTAGTTTATAATGAATAATTGTGAGAAACCAGTTAAAATCAATTACTTTTCTCTTTAAATGATGATAAAAATAATAATAATTTCCTATTTCTATTGTTAATAGACTAGATTTTGCGAGTAGATGACTTTTAACCCTAAAAGCTTCATTTAAATGAGCATTTCAAATTATTTTTCACTTGCAGTAGTTTTCACTCTGAATAGAAAGTAGGTTAATAGCTTCACTCATCAGGAGAAACTGAGTGTTTTATATTCTTTATTTATTTGCCATCATTTTATGTTATCTTAAAATAACATGATAGAACGCTTTATTTATGACTAACATCATAACCTACAGATTATATAGATGAGTTCAATGCAGGGGTTGGGATTTCGATAGTTGGTCGCCAAATCACTAAATTATTAAGAAACAGCAATTTCTGAACAATTTTGCGAATGCAATTTTCAGATATAATTATTCGAAAACATAAAAATGCGATAATTTAGATGCATATTTTCTTTTAATATTTTATAACCCTCGTTGAGCAGCCGACTCAACATTGGGCTTACGACTACTTATGTTCAGCTCCGTAACCATGCTATTTTGAACCCAATCCAGAAGACGAGTGAACTCCTGGATTAGGTTTTGGGAGAAATTTACCTTAGAGGAGTATTTTTATGGAACTAACCAACATTTGCGTTACATGGAGAGGAAAAATACGAAAACCTCCCACTGTTATCACAGCAAGGGGACTCTAACCCATGATCCGTCTACCACTGAGGATATTTTGCCTCAGCACTGTGGTCGGTGCAAGCCGGATGCGGAATTCATATCGATCATGTC